AGAAAAAAAAAAAAAGAAAATCATACTAGGCACATGTACATGCATGTTCAAAATCCTAAGGCGAGAATAGGGGAGAAGGGATTGCTATGTGGTTATCCCCCTGGGAGTTGATTTCTCACTTTCCCTCTCCCTGTCTCTGGAGAGTGCAGGTGTACATCCTATGCCAAAACCTAAAAAATAGAGGCAGGAAAAGTAAGAGAGAGAGTAAAGAGGATCTTGAGTTAGTGATGAGAGTCACTAATGGATTGAATTATCTTCAGTATCCCTTCTGTTTAGTAGAGAAGGTGTTTGACACTTTCCTTAAGAGCAGTCAGGTTGTTTTGTCATTTTCTGGTGGTCAGGGGTGAGAGTAGAAGAACATATTATTTTGCTAGGTCCCAACCTATTCCACTTCTTCTTAACTCCAGACCTGAAGATTCAGGGGGAGACCCATGACAGTATTGAAGATGCCCGCACAGCCCTTCAGCTCTACCGGAAGTATTTGGAACTAAGCAAGAATGGCACTGAGCCTGAGTCTTTCCACAAGGTGCTCAAGGGTCTTTACGAGAAGGGCCGCAAAATGGACTGGAAGGTGCCAGAGCCTGAGGGCCAGACAAGTCCCAAGAGTAAGGCCTGGGATGCGACAAAAGAAATAGGACTGAGTGGATTTTGATCACATATATTGAGACTGTAGCTACCACAGTGATGGTGATGATATAACAATACCATTCCTACCTTATATTTTTAAAGCATGAAACAGTTTACAAACCACTCAATCCTCCACTTGGTGAAGTATATTTTATTATTGAAACTTTCCATTGGTTCTATAACCTTTTCTTGCCCAGCTCTGCAATGTTTAGAGGTGTGTATCTTCTTTTTTTTTGCATTTTTCCTTCATAAGTATAAAAAGGTGTTCTTTTCGCCACTGCCTTCAGAGTCATGCTTTTGATTTTGTCTCTGACAGATGCAGCTCTCTTCTCCTCAGTGCTGGCACATTGACCTACCCACGCCCCAAAAAAATCACTGTCCTCTCCCTTCAGTGTTCTGTGGCCCCAGAACTGGGAGGTGGCTTCCCAAGTTGGCTGTACCCTGTCCACTTCCAGAATTGGACCTGCTTAGGGTCTACAGATGGTGCTATTAATAGAACTAGAATGCAGCAGAATTGTTGCAGAGATTATAGGGGCCAAATTCCTTCTCCATCTTTTGCAAAACAGTGGGCCAGAAACAATCTAAAATGGACCCAGATGGAAAGGAATTAGTATTCTAGTAATGTCCTCAGTGATTACTCTGCAGGCAAAGAAGCTCTTGGAACCAAAACTCTGTTTCTATCTGGCTAGGAACTGAAGTCCTGGACAGACAAAGCAGATATAGCAGTGATTAAGACAACTCAGTCTCCCAACTGCTTGAGGGATGCTGGAAGAGGGCCAGCATGTAGAATCTCAGTGGCTCAAGCAAACCAGTTTTGCCGACACTGTTGCCAAAAGGGCCTTTGGGTCCTTGACAAAGCTTGGCTACTAGATTAATTTATTTCTGCTGAGAACTAAAAAACATCAGTCTTCCATCCACTCTCCTCTCCCATGTTTTGTTATTTTTTAAGAATTTTGTTTTAAACTGCATGTTTTATAAAATAAAAACAAAAATACAGTCATCTATGTCATTAGAGAACTTCCAGCGTGGGTTTCTGTGACTTCAGCCCTCGTTTCTTTGGTTTGCCTTCCTGGTACATGACAAAACTAAGGTTATGTTCAAATCCCTATCTAGGGAACCAGCAGTTAGCGTAACGGCTATGTCGCTGGACTCCCATGTAGTCGACCACGGTTCGCGTCCCAGACCCGGTGGCTTAAAACTCACGCTGGGCGCGTATGTGTGCATGCCCAAGATCCCAAGAGGAGAATGGAAGAGAAGAGATTGCGGCATGACCATCCCCTGGGGAGGTGATTTCTTGCTTTCTGTCTCTAATGTCTGTCTCTGGGAAAGCCCCGCGCCCTATAGGGAAAATCCTCAAAAAAAAAAAAAAAAATTAAAAAAAAAAAATCCCCACCTAGAGGGGCCAGGAGGTGGTGCAACAGTAATGCCACTGTGTACCTGTGACCCAGACTGGCTGAGATGGGGTGGATTGGGGGGCTGGGACCCTTCCGGGATACCCTTCTATGTGTTTCATGGAATGAAAAAAAAAGTCCCTATCTAGGGACCAGCAGTTGGCATAATGGCTGTGTCGCGCTGGACTCCCATGTAGTCGACAATGGTTCAAATCCCAGAAGCTTAAACTCAAGCCAGGCGTGTGTGCGTGCGCGCCCAAGATCCCAAGAGGAGAATGGAGGAGAAGGGATTGGGCCGTGGCCATCCCCCCTGGGGGACGATTTCTCGCTTTCTATCTCTCTGTCTCTCTCTGTCTGGTGAGCACACGCGCCCTATAGCAAAAACCTCTCCAAA